CATTGCCCTGATGGAGAGGATTGTGGGTGCCTGGGGCAGGGGACTGTGGGAGGGTGTGTGGGGCAGGTCGTACTGGAGGGGGCAAAGGAGTCAGGGGGTATGTGGGCAGGGAGCACAGGGAACATGGGGGGTTGACTGATGAGCACAGGAGATGGGGGTAAGTGACCCAGATGCATGGGGTGGGGAGGGGTAACATGAAGGCCGGGAAATGTAGGGAATTGTGGGAACTAGGGAGCACAGACCTGGGAAAGGTCTTGGGTGTGCAGGGGCAGCTGGGGACTGTGGGAGTAGGGAATGTGGCGCAGCAGGTACCGCAGACATGAGGACTGGGGCTCTGGGAAGCAAGGAGGGCTGGGGACCTGGAAAGACAGAGGGTTGTGGCAAGCAGGAGGTCATGAGGCACATGGTGGGATTGTAGGGACCCAGGTAAACGTGAGGGTGGAGAGAGGTGGCTGGGACTAACTGGGCTGTGAGGCTTGGTAGGGCTGGTGGGGGAGGGTGGCAGTCCTTGGCAAGGTTGGGAGCTGGGTTCTGCAGGGATGGGGGCACGGTGCCCACCCCCACCCCCTGCCCTGCCCTATAGGATCGACGCCGTTCGGAAAGGAACGAGCAGGTGCGGACCCGGACAGAGAAGGAGCGCGAGCGCCAGGCCCGGCTAGCGGTGAGGCCACCCCACCCACCTGTCTGTTGCCCCCATATCTTGGGTTGGGGGAGGAGGGCAGGATGCTTCCCTGTGCACTGTTCTCCCCCACCTCGTACTTGGAGGCTGATGGATCTGCTTCCCCTGGTGCAGGAGGAGAAGATGCGCAAGGAGGAAGAGGAGGCCAAGAAGCGGGCTGAAGACGATGCCAAGAAGAAGAAGGTGCTCTCCAACATGACCCACTTTGGGGGCTACCTGGCAAAGGTAAGGGAGGCAAAGAAGCTGGGGAGACACCCCCTGGCCTTGCTGAGGGGTATAAACAGCTCCTGATGTGCTCCACCCCAGAGGTGGTTGCATCTCAGCACCAGTCCGGACGAGCAGTCCCTGTATAACTAGCCTTCCAACCAGCTCCACCTCAGAGGTGGCCACATCCCAGCAGCTCCAGTATTGCCATGAGCCTCCTGTCCTCCTCTTCCCAGGCCGAGCAGAAGCGGGGCAAGCGCCAGACAGGCCGGGAGATGAAGATCCGCATCTTGTCCGAGAGACGGAAACCCCTCAGCACTGAGCACATGAGGGAGGATGAGCTCAGGTGCCTGGGGGGTGGAGTGTGCCGTTGAGTGGACTTTGCTTCCCATAATGCTCTACACTGTCCTGGGCTCATTGACCACTGCACCCTATTTCCCATAATGCTCTGGGCTTGGCTTCCATTATTCATGATTCCCCAGGCTTAGTGGCCACTGTTACATTGCATTGCCTCTGCTGCAATATCCCATGAGGTTCATTGCTGGGATCCCAAAGACCAATGGTGCTTAATAGACACCACTATCTAGGACCAGGCCCACCTTCAGTTCCCACAGTCCTTTGGGCTTCCCCACACTGTCTCTTGGGCTGCCTTGGGTATAGCAGTCACTGCTTCCTCATGCCATCCATGGCTCCATTCCCATTATGTTTTGGGGTCAACAGTCCTTGACTGGATATGGTGTGAAGGGGGAGCAGGGTTAGTCAGCCAGCACCATTACCCTTACAACATCCCTGTCTGTCCACACAGGACAAAAGCCAAGGAGATGCATGATTGGATTTACCAGCTGGAATCAGAGAAGTTTGACCTCATGGAAAAACTCAGGCGCCAGAAATATGAGGTGAAGGGGATGGGGAATGGGCATGGGGCCTTGTCCCCTTTAGGGGGCACTGGCTCTGATCCGGCCCTGTGAGAAGGGACTGGCTCTGGGGATGGGGCAGGCTTGGTGAGGCAATCCCATGCATCTTGCATTCTTTCCCCCCCTGCAGATAAATGTCCTGTACAACCGCATCAGCCATGCTCAGAAATTGTGAGTAGTTGCAATGTAGCTGTTCCCTCTCTATGGGAGAGTATAGAATCATAGAAAATGAGGGTTGGAAAGGACCTCAGTAGGTCATCTAGTCCAACCCCCTACTCAAAGCAGGACCGTCCCCAACTAGATCATCCCAGTAAAGGCTTTGTCTAGCCGGGTCTTAAAAACCTCCAAGGATGGAGAGTCCACCACCTCTCTGGGTAATCTGTTTCAGTGCTTTACTACCCTCCTAGTGGGGAAGTTCTTCCTAATATCTAACCTAAACTTCTCTTGCTGCAACTTGAGCCCATTGCTCCTTTTTCTGTCATCTGCTACCACTGAGAACAGTCCAGCTCCATCCTCTTTTGAACCCCCTTCAGGTAGATGAAAGCTACTATTAAATCCCCACTCAGTCTTCTCTTCTCCAGACTAAATAAACCCAGTTCCCTCAACCTCTCCTCATATACATGAATTCCCTCAGCCCCCTCACCATTTTTGTTGCCCTCCACTGGACTCTTTCCAATTTGTCCACATGCTTTCTGTAGTGGGGGCCACAAAACTGGACACAGTACTCCGGATGTGGCCTCAGCAGTGCTGAACAGAGGGGAAGAATCGCTTCCCTTGATCTCCTGGCTGCACTTCTCCTAATGCAGCCCAGTATGCTCACAACAAGGACACACTGTTGTGTGTGGGACCACCCAGGCCAGAGACCAACCACCCCCTCCATCCCCCAACCCTTTTTCCCCATGAGGGAAGGACGAGATGGGCTGATACTGAGATGAGCTTGGTGAGGCCAGAGGGTTTTGACACCAAAACCGGCTTGCTCTGGGGAAGATGCTGAGATCAGCTGGGCCCAGGGTTGGGTTGGGGCAATGGTATGTTTGGGGGACTGGAATCTGGGGGCCTTGAGGTCTGTTCTAACCCTCCCCTTTCTCTCCATAGCAAAAAGGTGCCTGGCAAGGGCCGTTTTGGAGGCCGCTGGAAATAAATGCCAGGCCCTCAGGCAGATCACCCCTGCCACCCTTCCCTCCTGCATCCACCCTCCTGTATCCAACCAGATGATCCCCCCCTTGACTTCCACCCATCCTGGTCCCTGCTGGCATGGAGATTCTGCCCTGTGTGATCTGGAAAATCAGGAAACTGGTGTGAGCTGTGTCCTGTGTCCAACTACCTGGGCCATGTAATAAAACATATCCCTTGCCCTTAGCTCATGGATGGAGCCTTGATCTGGTTTGTGGAGCAAGGGAGGGAGTTGTGTATGCATATTGAGAGGGGGAGGTGTGTGTGTGGCTTTACACAGAGCCCCCCTAGGCAGATGGGCCCCTGACACTTAACTGTCTTCTAGATCACCCCCCCCCAAATAATTCCCCTCCAAACCTCCCCTCTACCACAGACATGGCTCCCCTGCTGTCCATCACACACACATTTCTGCCCCCACACAGATGTAAGCTGCTTCCAGCTGCCTACCTCCAATTGCTCCCCTCCTCCCACTACACAGCAGGGCCTGTCCCCCTAAAATAAGCCCTACCCACTTGGGAGCTGACTGCAACTTGGTGGCAGATCTCTAGGCTCCAACAACAGGGTGGGAGGGATCAGGTGGGCTCCATTGCCACCCCTCCCTTAATACATGGAAGTCTGATGCTCTGCTAGGCAGTTCCTAGGATCACCAGTTGGAGGGTTGAAGGAAACAAAGGCTTGTGCTGTCCCCAGGGATCCCATAACTGCCAGCAAAAGGCAGTGTCAGAGTAAAGGCAGCTCTTCACAGGTCAGCCTCACATGCCCTCTCTAGCCCACCAGGGCACTGGTACCGCAGTAACATACAGAGGGATCAGGACTTTGAATAAGCCCCTTGTTCAGATACACAGGGCTTGGCCCAGCTCGTTCAGCAATGGGCCCAGACTCCCTGTAGACTCAGGCAGGCACTGCATGTCCATCAGTCCCAGGGAGTGGGAGAGGAGTTTTGCTTTGTTTCCCATGAATGCTAAGATCTGGAGGCCAAGGCTGCTGGCAGTAGGAGACGCTGGAAGGTGACAGGGGAGAATGCAGGCTACTGCCAGTAGGAGAGGGACGGTGCACTAGGAATCAGCCTAAAGCAATGTGGAGCCACAAAGCTGCAGCCTACTAAGGTGCCCAAGGATGGGAGGTTTCCTAGACTCAGACTCCAGCTCAGGGGAGGCTAATTATTTCAGGCGGAGGGCTGCTTACTGAGTTTTGGAAAGCCATTGAGGGCCACATGACAGGCAGCCAGGGGCAGATAAATATTAATTTTCTAAATTTTTTTAGGGGCCCTGCAGGCCAGATAGAATGGCCTGGTGAGCTGCATGTGGCCTGCGGGCTGCATTTTGCCCACCTCTGAGCCAGCTAGACTCTATTTCCCATGATAATTCTGGGGTGGGGGACTCCATTCTCATGATGCAGCAGGCCAGCACACTCCATTCCCCAGGTTGCTTCTGGGTTGGGGGCTCTGCTCCCATGATACAATGGGACATCAGAGTGAGGGGGAGTGGCAGTGGGCAGGGCTCTGCTACCCTAAGGCCCCATGGCCAAATTGCCTGGGGACTCTATTTCCAGCATGCTTTGCAGAGGTCAGGGGCAGCTGGTGGGGGGGGGGGGGGGGGGGAGAGGCAAACTCCATTTTCCAAGATGCCCCATGGGCAGGGTGAGAGAATCCATAACCCCTGCCATGCGTCTCCTGTGCACCCTCTCCTGTGATGCCCCAACAGGTGTGGGGTAAAGGGACTCCATTTCCCATAATGCCCCACAGCGGTGGGCAAGAAGGGACTCCCTTTCCCATGGTGTACTGCTGTGACTCACACCTGCTCAGTCTCTCATGATGCTCTGGGCAAGTCCCACCACACCCTGCAGTGGATGGATGACGGGGGAGGGACTCTGTTTCGTACATTGCACGAGTGACTCCCCACGCCAATGATGCTCGGTACCTAGGCAAGGGACTCAATTTCCCAAGATACACTGCGTCACACCCCATCTCCCCCTGCCCCAGCATTACACGGATAGGGAGGAGGGGGAACTGCACTGCCCATGATGCCCTGCAGCAGGTGGGAAGAGACGAGAAAAGAAGAGAAGGGGACTCCCTTTCCCATGATGCACTGCGAAGGAGGCATTCATAACTATGGTTACCATATTTCCAGGTCCAAACATAGGGCACCTGGGGAGGCGGTCTGATTGCTGGGGGGCGGGGGGCAATCCTCCCATCCCCCCGGGCTCTACCGGTGCCCCTCCCTCCCGACTCACAGCCCCTGTCGCCCCGGTCCTGACCGCGCCGGAGCGCTGCAGCTGCGGCCGCCCCAATTCTTGCGGGCGGTACAAGGGAGGGGACGCCTGTGGCAGCCCGGGCTCGGGCTCCCGAGCGGCGCGGCCCCCCCTGAGCAGCATTTCCTGGCTGCCCCGCCC